TGCAATTTTCTCAATTTGTTCTATTAATGTTTTTAATAAAATATTTATTGTTCCAATCTCAATTTCGGGATAAACTATTTATTGAATTTATATCTTTGCACTGAGGTTGTTTGGTTCAAAGAAAATACACATCTCTTCCAAAACACATTTAAGGGATTGTCGTCATAATTTCAAGTCACCCTTTATTTAAAGAGGAGCAAGCCCCTTTAAATCTTTACCTGCGCTTATTAAATTAAGTGTTAAATTTAATAAATTTCATTATTTCTCTGAAATCTAAATTTAATAAATTTCGTTAATTTTCTCTGAAACCTGAAAGTCACTTCATAGAGAACCCAAAGTTGGAAATTATCAATTTTCAGACATAAAAACTAGAATATCTTCACTGTGTTCACTTAGACAAAGGTTGAAAGTGTACAGTTGTAAATCAATCGAACATGAATAGTCACGTCACCTATACAAACCCTTTTTCTTTTAAAAAATGACATCAGGAGATGTGCTTTTCGTAGTGCAATGCAGGCTTGCCAATTATAATCAAGTTGCAAAAAAGAACATTTGCACATTTACACATTTAGATTCCCATTTATAAGAATGTTCTAATGGCCTGCAGCACATGACAGGCTAATTTTTTTTATCTTAAAAGTGTTATGAGTAGGGTGTTAATATTTAAAATTCTTAAATAAAAATGTAATATTTTTAGATATATGAGCATTGAGGACAAAACTAGGCACTATTACACACTTTGCAGGTTCATTTATTGCTTTTTCATTCTTTCATTCATTCATTCATGGGAATATTTATTCATCCTCACACTTTGCAGGTTTATTTATTACTTTATCATTCTTTCATTCATTCATTGTAATATTTATTCATCCTCACACTTTGCAGGTTCATTTATTAATTTTTCATTCATTCATTCATTCAGGGGAATATTTATTCATCCTCACACTTTGCAGGTTCATTTATTACTTTTTCATTCATTCATTCATTCATTCATTCATTCATTGGAATATTTATTTATCCTCACCCTTTGCAGGTTCATTTATTACTTTAGCATTCATTCATTCATTAAAAAACTTTATTTATCTGTACACTTTCCAGGTGCATTAATTACTTTTTTATTTATTCATTCATTCATTCATTCATTCATTCATTGGAATATTTATTCACCTACACACTTTCAAGGTTCATTCATTACTTTTTCATTCATTCATCCCAATATTCATCCTTCCCCACACTTTGAAGGTTCATTTATTACTTTTTATTCATTCATTACTTTTTCATTATTTATTTATTTGAATAAAATTATTAAATAATCTAGGAATGCTACCCCCCTTGNATAATCTAGGAATGCTACCCCCCATGATATTTATTATATAATTGATATTCATTATATAATCTAGGAATGCTACCCCTCATGAGACCCCCAGCCATACCCCTCGGGATACTCCTAAGCATGGCAGGAAAACTGAGGATGAGGGGGAGGAGGAGATTATTATTCCAATAGAGGTCGCTAAATCAGAAACAGTTTTTTCAGGTTAACAATTTTAGATCAGAGAAGTTGTTTTTTTCTGAAACTACCTATGTTTAGTGCAATTGGGTTTCTATATTTTATTGTACTCTACTTAAAAATTAAAAAAAAAATTCCTTTGAAATTCCCTTCCAATCTATGAACTGCTTTGTGTACGTTTATTGCATATGTTTTTAATTCAATACCTCTAAAATCTACATTCTACATATTCAATACCTATCTATATATTTAATACATGTTTACATATTCAATACCTATTAACATAATTAATACCTATTTTTACAAATTTAATACCTATCTACATTCTACATATTTAATACCTATCCTCATATTTAACATAAATTACATGTATACTTAATACCTATCTACATATTTAATATACCTATTTGAATATTTAATATACCTATTTACATATAAAATGTCCTATTTTTGTTAAGTCCCATTTTTCTCTAAAATGTCTCAACTCAATTATATTCTTCTAAAGAAAATGACAGTGCCCTGGAGGACGACCAGAGGACCGAGGACGGACAAGAACTAACGGACGAAGAGGTCGAGGACGGCGAGGCCAACGATTATGATTTTGACGAGAATGTTTATCACAATGATGACAAGGATGATGATGATGATGATGAGAGTACTCCTGAACAAGATGATGAATCCACGCCACAGCTTGGATCTGATACGTCAAAGGTTATTTTATTTAGACAAAAAGTGTCAAGGTGCTAGTGTCAAAAATGAAGAAAATAATGAAGAAAAAACTAGAATTTCTGAGTAACACCATTTTTCTTTGTTTGTGTTTTTTTCCTAAAATGTTTTGCGTTTCAGACATTCGTTCCTTTACAATGAGACCAATAATTTTCAAGGCTTAGAATTGGGATAATATTTGTCCAATATCTTATCAATCTTCTCAATTTCTAATATTTGCCGTGACTTTGTTAAATTAATGATTTAAAGGGAGTGTAGACGTACTTTTTTCATTTGTTGTGCATTTCTGTTTTAAATCCAACGAAGGAAATTGTCTAAAGTGAACACTTATAAAGCTAGAAAAGCAAGTATATATTCCACACTATTGATAAGATAAATGTTTAAAGGGTATAGTATGTGATTGAACAGTCCCTTTAATTGTCTGGTTCCAATGATTGAATTTTAATTAAACTCTACAATTGCGATCTAATTAAACTTAGAGAATGGAATTCATTAAAACTTCAACAAGGTTTTTCAAATTTTAATTCGTTTTTAGTTTTTCTTTTTGTTGAAAAGTTCAGATAGAAATTCATTATTTAAAGGAAATTCTAGTCATAGAAATATATTTTTTTTTGGGGGGGGGAGGGGGAGGGGGGAACACATATTATTCAAATTGTCGAAAGGGAGCGCTGACGCATTTTTATGTGACCCTCCAATTAAAGAGGAGTATGCCTGATTCACGACAGTCCTGAGTACAATTGGTGACTAAATCTTCGTGGTCGTGATTCTATCAGTCACCATAGTGTTCCCCCCCCCCCCCCCCACTATTCTCGCCCACTTGGTCAACAATGTTAGTCACATATGTTTGGTTTTGAAAAATGGGAAAATTATTAACTATTTATCTAAAACTTTTTTGTGCAATTTTCCGTGAAAGTATTTATAATTTCTTTAAACTTTATTTTTTTAGACGCAGAGTCCAAGTTCTGTTGGTCGAACAAGAATATCCTTCCAGGAGGTCCAAGAGGTCCAAGAGGTCCAGGAGGGCCAGGAGGGCCAGGTAGATCATCAAGGGTCAGACGGAAAGCATGATGAACTTAAGAAGGAGGAGGAGCAGAAGCAGAAGGATGAGGAGGAGATGAGAGGAGAAAAAGGTGGAAAGTATGACAATGGAATTGTTTGTGATAGTGAAGAAAGTTCTCATTACAGGTATATTAGACAATTAACAAAATATGGACATTAAAGTCGTCTTCGTATCAATACAAGGGAGACGACTTTCGATTTCATTTTTGATTTCCATCAAGCTTTTATTATTATTTGAAAAAAGTTTGTTACAAATCAAAACTTAAGTAGCAAAGTCCTTTTCATTGTATTGATATAAATGCCGACCATTGTATAATAAAAAAGGAATCATAGGTCATAACTTTTTTATCGTTAATCCATAGAACGCACTAATTCTTGTCTGTTTCAGTCGGATTGATTAAGTTAATTCGTATCTTAAAAGTTTATACCACAAAAATTTGTTATAAGACAATGAGTGATTGCGAAAATAAGAGTCAGCTATTTCAACACAAAAGAAATGATCGCTTCAAACTAAAAGTTCACGCCGTGTTTTTAACACGTTTTAGATCAGCGCTATTTCACAAAGATGTTTAGACCTCGGAAATTTCAGTTTTATAGCATACAGTGAAATCCCTAATAACGAATACATCGAAAAAATTCATCAAATGTCGTATTCTTCACTTTCTGATAATGGAATATTGCAGATATTTAGTTTTTTAAATAAATAACTATATGGAACTCTTTAAACTGTTCCCACATATTCATGGCTATTTATTTATTTTCGCAAATACTAAAATTTACGAAATATAGTATAAAACTTATTGAAAAATTGCCAAGACGACATTTCATAAATTCTTCCGATGTATTCGTTATTAAGGGTTTCACTGTATAAAAACTTACAGAACTTATGGTAAAAATCGTCTTAATATAAACGATTACACGTGTAAATTAATAGTAATGGAAAATACACAAGTGGAAAATACAGAAATATTAAAGATATTTCCAAAATGTTTTACTTACTTAAAATTAAAGTAGATTTCTTGAACTATTTTTTTTATAAATCTTGAGATATTACTTCCTGAAACAAGGCAAATTTTTTACCCTTGTAATGATGTTTTTTGTTTGTTTTATTTCAGTCGTATATTTTTCATCGAAATTTTAACATTTTAGTCAAAAAAAAATATTTAATTGAATTGAATGATGAAAAAAAAGAAAGCCTATTTTGTAACTTAAGATCTGTAAATAATTATTTTGAATCAAGTTTAAATATAGAACTTTTTTACTTTTTTCTTTTAAGTATTTGTCAATATCTTAAGCTCATCAACAACTTTGTAACTGGAATTATTAAAGTAAAAATGATTATGTAATACGTTCTAATTTACTTCTGAATTGTGCAAGAGCACAAGTTCAAGAAAACATTATCTTAGGAATAACTAAATAGATGGGAGTTAGCTAAACTAAGTTAAACTACTTCTCTTTAATTTGAATTGGCGCACAAGAGAATTAGTTTAACTATTTCTTAATAGTTTAACTTATTCGCTTCTTATTAAAGGAATTGAGTTTCCGTCACAAACTCAATTTTCTAAATCCTGTATCTTTGCAACAAAGTATCGTAGACATTTGACATTACAAACTCTAAATTATGTTAGATAAGATAGACTTAAGTTTGAAATATCAAAGGTTTACACCAACAGGTTGCGAAGATATACGGATGAGAAATTTTGAGTTTGTGACAAAAACTCACTTCCTTTGGTCCTTGTTCTCAGAAATGTGGTAATATGTTAGAGATAAAATTCTTATTTTAATGAAAAGGAAATGAGTTTTCCCACAAACTCTAATTTTTTACTCCCTAGATCTTTGCAACCCGATGTCATAGACCTTTCATATTTCAAACTATGAATTCTGTTAGCTCAAATAGTCTAAGCTTTAGGTTGCAAAGATATAGGGCTAAGAAAAGAATTCCTTTGAACAAAAATTCTACCGGAATTGAAATAAAAATTAGAAGCAAAAAATAGTTGTATAGTCATTTTTGCATTGAAATCCTTAAAACTATTGACTAGAAAGACGACTGTTTAGCTCAATTTATGACATTCAATAGTTTCATGAACATGAACATGTATACGGCTGATTCATCATAACTTGATTTTCACGCTACTTGATAAAATAACTATTTGCTTTTCAACAACATCAAATACACTTAAAAGATTACTTAAATGTCGTATTTCAACTCCACAGTTACATGGGTATTATTGTTGTAATCCATTTTCGTTTACACAAATTACCCTAACTAGGAGCGGGGATGAACCAGAACCGATAGATTTAACTCATCTGAACATTGAAGCCTCCATGATGTGTTTGGCGAGTAAAATAAGAACAATTTGCGGCAAAGCGCACAGTCCCACGCTTAGTAGCAGAACGTTCAGGTAAAAAGTCAAAAATTAGTATAGGTCGTCAAAGGCTTAAATATTCGAATTATATTCAATATCTCAGAAAGGAACTGATCACCATAACCTTTGATATTTCAAATTAAACCCTTTGACCAGTGCTTAGGATTCAAGGGGTAAAAAATCAACCAAAAACTGAAGAAAAAAAACTTTTTTACTCCTAAAACCAAAATCTGAACTTTTGAAAAAAAGAGAGATTATAAAAATTTCCTCATTTCTGAAGGGTTCATCAAGTTTGAGGATAAAAATAAGCAAAAAAAATTAAACAAAAAATTTGAAAATTATTTTTTGTTTAAAAAAATCAGTAAATCTTAAAGAAATGACCTGGATCCCGATCAGGATTTGGATCCGGATCCGCATCAAAATTAAAAGGATCCTATGCAGTATGCACTGCCTTTAACCTTACAGAAATCATGATTTGAAATATCAAAGGAATTTGTGGCATATGTTCAGTTTCTTTGTATTTCTGTAAACGCTATTTTATGATCAGTTAAACATTTTGCTCGTGTGTCTAAAATCAATATTCACTTTCTGAATCAACAGTCGCAAGTTGTAATAGTTTGAATAAAGCCACCATACTTCATCCGTTGCGAATTGTTTATGGCAATCCTTTAAAGCTGGTCAATTTTTTAAAACTTATTAAAAGTATGTTATTAATTATGAATCTTAAGTTAGAAGGTAAAGATTGTTTTTTTTTGTTCTTGTTGTCTGTAATATAATGTAACCCATTTACTCTAGGTTTCGTGAGCTGGATAGTTTGAAGAAAGGGACAGATAAGGATTCTTTGAGAGATAAATCTCTCGAACCAGTTCCAAGAGATAGTTCTCAAGGAGCTTTTGAGAACAAGGAGAAACCTTTCTTAGAAACCAGAACCTCTAAACCATCAGATTCTACACAAACAGGTTGGATTATATACAGGGTTACCCACAAAGGATGAGATTTAAAAGACGACCTGAAGCTCTTTTAAAATATGACAATCCCAAGTGTTAATTACGTCTTTTGTCATGAATATAGTCTTTGATTGGCTTATTTAATAATTTGGCAAAAATGAAACAAGTTTTCAGTTGCAGGGAATCATGAATTTAGGGGAAAAGACAGTAGAAATTCAGTAGAAAGAGTCTCGGAAGTGTCATCCTTTGTGGGTAAACCTGTAATATTAGAATAATTAGAATTTTTCACAGATTTACAAGGTCAATGTTAATCCCTAGAAAGTTTCTCATAAAGTAGATATCGAGTTTAAAGCTTGATTTATCTCAACTAAAAGTTCCGATCGATCTCGTTTCTTTTCATACACCCCTAGACCAGTAATAAATTAGTTACCAGAGCTGAAAACTTTTGAATAGGATATCCTTAATCCTGATCGGATAATTAATCTGGAGATTAAAAATGAGAGGAGAACAAGCAATATTTAATCTGGAGATTTAAGAAAAAGAGTGGATTAAGCATTAATCCCGATATCCACCATTCTAAAGTTTTCAGCTCTGAAGGGATAATGTATCATCAAGGGATCAACTTTACCTTTAGGAATTAAAATACCTTTAGGTATCAAGTATACTTGAAAAGATCAAGTTTATCTGAAGGGATCANTTTACAATCTATACAAATATATTTACAATCTATACAAATATATTTACAATCTATACAAATATATTTACAATCTATACAAATATATTTACAATCTATACAAATATATTTACAATCTATAATTTAGGTGCAGGCAACTCTGATACTCTGGAGCAGAATGTACAGAAGGGTTCGGAGCTGGATCCAAGTTTAGACCCGGAGCAGAGTCTTCAATCCGGTGGTTTCAAGATCCCTGATGTTCCTAAACCTTCCAGTGAAGAAATCAAGGATTGGGCGGGAGAGGTAAGGGTGGATTTTTTATATCTGGCTTTTCCAGGAACCAGCTTTAATGAGTAGCTAGAAGTAGTTCAACTACTTACTACATGGATGAATTTCAATCGCTTCTCTTGTGCGCTGGTTCCTGTTGAAGAAAAGTAATTCAATTTAATTTAAGTTATTCACTATTCATCAAATTAAGTCTTTGATCAAAAATATTTTATTTTTACTCTGCTGCCTCAAGATTTCCTCGGGAAACAGCATTGACACTGTTTAGAAGAAACTCTATATGTTTTATAATAATTAATTGTTTAATATATTTCTGTCTTATTTTAGAAGCATTTTCTATAAAAATTAATTAGTTTTTAAATTTAAACAATATAATTTTGAAAACTTTAAAAGGTTTCATTTCTCAATATTTCTATTACAAAATTTGAGAAAAATAAGTTTAATGTGTCAATTTTTATATAAAACTCTTGTAGGTCCGACCAAGTTTGCGTGAGCTGCGTCAAGTTTTATAAAAAAAATTCGTGTAGGTCCGACCAAGTTTGCGTAAGCTGCGTCAATTTTTATATAAAACTCTTGTAGGTCCGACCAAGTTTGCGTAAGCTGCGTCAATATTTATATAAAACTCTTGTAGGTCCGACCAAGGATGCGTAAGGTGTGACAATATTTATATAAAACTCTTGTAGGTCCGACCAAGTATGCGTAAACTGCGACAATATTTATATACAACTCTTGTAGGTCCGACCAAGTTTGCGTAAGTTGTGACAATATTTATACAAAACTCTTGTAGGTCCGACCAAGTATGCGTAAGCTTTGACAATATTTATATAAAACTCTTGTAGGTCCGACCAAGTATGCGTAAGCTGCGTCAAGGAATGGATAGTTTACTCAAATCCTCCAGATTAGTTTGCTCTGTTCTTAGGCTTCAACAGATCAAGGTACTCATCACAATAATTCAGGAATATACAGTAAAACACAGAAAACTGTGGAATATGAAGACGACGTTTTTTACTCAATTTAGGATTTTTAATAGTGTAATGAACATGAAACACGGCAATTTTTGAGTGTACCATGAATCCGTTTCGTTAATACACATAAGATTGCTGAAATGTCGTCTTTCTATTCCACGGTTTTATTGGTTTCTCTGTAATACCTAAAACTTTGACAAATTAAATTTAAAATTATTTAAGAAAAAATAATGGAAAACTATCAATACCTAAATATTTATCTCAGGATGCGGTGAGTTTGACCCACGAGGTCAAATACAGGCGAGATGTCTGTTTTAGCCAGGCGTTAACATCTCTGGTGTCTGGTCTGATGGCTAGGATCTGGTGTCATCCACCAGATCCATCCTTTCTCACCCTGCTCACTAAACTAGGACCTCTTGTCACCTTCGAAGGAATTAAGTCATTTTATTGATTAAACTCCAGTAATTTGTGTTTTCTTGGAATTAGATTTGCTTGTTTTTAGAATTTTTAGTTTTAACTTTGTCTTTTGTTAAGTTTAATGTGCAGCTGTGTTATCATTTGCTTTTCTTTCTAAAATGTTTTGATTTTAAGTTTCTGAGATTAAACTATGTTGTCTTTATATTTTCCCTTGCTGAGACCCAAGCCTCCTTTCTAGAATAAATTCCATGAATTTTACATTTCTATAAATCTTTATTTTACGAGCACAGAATTTACATTTTAAACTTTTATTGTTTGAGAATTTTATATCTTGGACCTAATTGAAGTTCTAAAGGAAACCAAATTTCCGGGAAAAAATTTCTTTGATCTGTTTAAAGAAATAAATGGAACAATTTTCTTTTAAAATGATTTTGATGCCAGGTTTGCTCTCTTTGCACGGGGAGGATGTTACAATTATTAACGATATGATCGTCGCAGTTGAGGATCTTCGATCGGTAGAATTCACGCTGGTTCTTGTTGAACGAAGATCAAAGTCAAAACTTTCAAATCGCAAAGTCGGCCATGTTGGCGGCAGCAACTGCAGTGCCACTTGCGGTGGAAATGGGAACTGTGCCGGAACTCATGTGCCGTTAATTACTTGCGGCATCTCAAGCTTTCCTTTACCACGTGTTACTGGGTCAAGAACTAGTCTTAAAGGAATGTTTCTTTTATAATTGAAAAATACTACTTTAACAACGAAATGTATTTAATATTCTTTTTATTCTTTTATAGTTTAATAACAAAGACTTGACACAATTTTTTTCAAAATTTTACCATAATCCCTAACTTAACAAGTCATTTATTTTTTACTCTGGAATAAAAAAGAACAAATATTTAGTCCTTCTCCCTGTCCCAGAATGGGTTTATTCCCAGGTTCCTCTGCAGCACATCAACAACATGTCCTTCAACATCGTCCCTGTCTTCTTCAACATTGGGATAAACCAACACGCAACCATTGCTGAGAAACTTGGACTCAATACAGCCCAGGTCTGTAATTGATGATTCCACAAAAAAGTACTGATTATTTTTATCATACTCTGAACGCTGCAACCTGAATTGTTTTAAACCTTTAATATTTCAAACTATGAATTCTGCTAAATAACTCTGCTAAGAATAATATTGATAACTAAAGAATACTGGCAGATTATCTCTAGGTTTAAACTATATTATATCTAGGTTTAAACTATATAATATCTTGGTTTAAACTATATAATATCTAGGTTTAAACTATATTATATCTAGGTTTAAACTATATTATATCTAGGTTTAAACTATATTATATCTAGGTTTAAACTATATTATATCTAGGTTTAAAGTATATAATATCTAGGTTTAAACTATATTATATCTAGGTTTAAACTATATTTAATCTAGGTTTAAACTATATAATATCTAGGTGTAAACTATTTTATATCTAGGTTTAAACATTATAATATTTAAGTTAAACTATATAACATCTAGCTGTAAACTATATAACATCTAGGTGTAAACTATATAATATCTAGGTTTAAACAATATAATATCTAGGTTTAATCTATATAATATCTAGGTGTGAACTATATAACATCTAGGTGTAAACTATATAACATCTAGGTGTAAACTATATAATATCTAGGTTTAAACTATATGATATCTAGGTTTAATCTATATAATATCTAGGTTTAATCTATATAATATCTAGGTTTAATCTATACAATACTTAAAGGAGAAGAATAATACTGACAACTACAGAATACTGGCAGATTATCTCCGTAGGTTTAAACAACTCAGACTCTTCAATACTACTCAGGACAAGGATACAAGTAAGCTACAGTGGGATCCACAAAACTATAGAATAGGAAGACGACTGTTACACTCAAGTTTTTTTAATAGTCTAATGAACATTGAACGCGAAAAAAGCAATAGTGCTATTTGTTTCATAACAACATGATTACAAGTTTGCTTTAATGTCATCCTCCTATTCAACAGTTTTATCGATTGGATGAACTAGTGAATGAAAATGAATAAAAATAAATATTAATTGATAAAAATTAAGTAAAATAAATGAAAATTTATGAAAAAATTTTAAAAAATGAATGCAAATGAATGCAAATGAATGAAAATTAATGAAAATTATTGAAAATTAATGAAAATGAATAAAAATTAATGAAAATTAATGAAAATTAATGAAAATTAATAAAAATTAATCAATTTTCATGAAAATTAATCAAAATTAATGAATGAATAAACTAGGGATGAGTTGGAAGAGTAGAGAGGTACACCTGGATGATTTAATGACTATCCTGAAGAATGAAGTATCCAGCCATAAATCTAAAAATGTGGATATTCTCTCACTAGTCGCTCAAATCACTCAGCAATTAGAAGGTAATAATTAGTTATTGAATATGATAATAATAATAATAAAAATACTAACAATAGTAATAATGACGACAATGATAACGATAATAAAGAAAATATTCAATGAATAGTTAAGATAATGGTAATAATCATTTTAATGACAATGAAAGAGTCATGAGCAGGGGCGTACGAAAGGGGGGGGGG